TCCTTCTGATCCGGGAGAGGGCCGCAACAAGCAGTTCCAGGTCTGCCGGTACTCTTCTGGAAATAGACTCTAGATAATGTCAAGTAAGATCTGCTAAACCCTGCTGTAATTTCTCTGAGAATTTTGTTTGCACACATAGAGACCACTATTCAAACTCTTCTCATTTCAATATTTATACCAGGTTAATTAGCTCTCAGCATCTCCAGCCAACGTAGCAGTGAGACGCAGAAGCCATGGATGTGAATTCTCAGCCTTGCGAACAACCGAATATCTCAACAGTAAGTGCTTGCCTTTATATACATACGTATACATACATACATATCTTTAAAGATCCACGTTGGGTCACCCGAAAATGGGCCGCGGGGAAGGAATGAGCCCCCCCCGCGGTGGGACTGGCCCTGACGCAGATGCAGCACCAGCGCAGCGCCCAGGCTGGGGCCGGGGCCGGGCCGGGAGCGAGATCAGGGGCCGCGGGGCCGCGCGGGTTTCGAGGACATCGAGCAGCCCTCGACCCCTCTTGCATGCCCAAGACGCTGGCAGCGTTTCGCGGTGCGAGGTGCAGCAACTGGGCGGTTTGCGTGCTTTGGCGGAGCTGTAAGTAGTTAATAAAGGGGCTGGAAAGAGATCCTCTATACTGATTGTTCCTGATTGTTGTTTTCTTGATAACAGAGCAAGCCACTGAACGACTGTTTGAGCTCAGGCGCCACAAACATAAACTTAACAGCTCCCAGTGTGCCGGCCCTGCAGGAGGATCACTCCTCACCTCCCGGGACTTGCGAAGTGCAGGCGGAGAAGGCAGCTCCCATGGAGGCAGGCACCGGGGGGGCGGGGGAGGCTCGCTTGTATGACCGAGTTTTCCAAACTGCACGGTATCTGCTGTCATTAGCCAAGGGAAAGGGGTGTAAAATTAATCGGTGCCTTTCCCCTGTCCTCCTGCCCGTGCCGTGTGTCAGTGCAAGGTCTGTGCGCCATTCTCCCCAGCATCCCAGGCGAGAGATGAAAGTTTTTACATCAGGTTGATGTTTCGCTTGAATTTTCTTTCCGCGCCCACGGGCCACCAAACAAGCGTTTGGCCTTGTCTGGAGTCGGGGAGGGAGGGAGGGAGACGGAGGTACGCAAGGC